TCGATCGTTCAGGAAGTGTGGCAATAAATCCGCCTCAACCACTGGACTCGTTCTTCTCTAAACTGAAAAGTGCGAAAGTGCGAAATTGAAGCTCAATGGCGGAGGAATGTGCTGATAGCTGAAGCCAGTGAATCATCTTTTCTGCAACTGCAACCGTCTGTGAAATAACTACAACGTAATTTAGTTTGAGTGTTTGAGTGACAGTGACTGATTATCTCATAGAGTACAGCAAGCTGGTTTGAGAACTATTATTAAATTAACAATTTTCATTTCACGAAACGGCACCGGCACCGGCCAATGTTTGTGTTGGTGATGTAATGTAAATAACTTGCAGTGATATGATAAGCATCCAGGGAGCAGACTCCATGAATAACAAAGTGATCAACATTGTAAAGATTCTCCCAATATCTTCCCCATCTATCTCAAGTATTATTTAAGGTAATTATTTTTATTAAGAGTTGTTGAAAGTAGAGTTGAAAGGCTATCTAGAATATGACAAAATCCTTAGGCTCAGGCCTCAAATTACGATTTTCAAGTTGGAGAGGCAAAGTTAAAATTTATGCTGAATTCTTCACTTTTCTGAGAGGAAAGTCTTTATTTTCAATGCGCCAACCAACAAAATGTTTGCTAATAACATTCATGGATTTCTGTCAGGTCCTGAAACCCTGGGCAACATCATGAGGAGTCGACCAGCAATTATCTCAAAAATTTCATCATGAGTGCATCAATCAAATTCAGTAGTTAAAAACCTTTTATTCCAATCGATATATTTCCAAGTATTTGTGCATGTTTTTTTCTTGTAAAGTCCTGCGGCCGGATTGTTGAAATTTTAACTGGCTATGTCGGCACGATAAGACAAGACATAGCCCTACATGCGCCGTGTAAAATATCGATTTTCGATTCTTGTCGTGCCGACATAAATTTCAACAATCAGGCTGCAGTGGACTGTCCTCAGCATATGCCAAATTTTTCTAAAATATTTCCTCACCCATCTAATGTTACTCAGGATGAATTTCAAGTTTTGATAATTATTTGTTTTCTCGCCACGAACTTGATTAGGAGCTGAAATATTGTAACATTATACCCATCTTATTTTGGCCTTCATACAGTAATTTTATTGTTAAGATCTTTATAAAGAAGATCAGTGCTGAGGCCAAGGCTGTGGCAATTGAAGCAATGGAGTGTCAAATGGAGCAGTTACATCAGATGCCAACAGGAGGGTGCAAAAAACACTTAAAGTAATGGTGAAACAGCGAAATTCAGCGGGAAGAAATTGTTACACATGAGGTAAAAAGTGTTAAAAGGAGAGATTAAAGAGAAAAAGGAAAAGGGGTGAAAAGAGGGAGAATTCAGTGTCAAAGCTAAAATGGGGAAATTACCATTAGCAGTCTCTGTTTGCCAATCTACCCCTATTTAAGGGGAGGAGTGAAGCAGCCTGGGCATTTGCCCAGCCTTTTTAGTTGGGCTGGGAAAACCCCTTGTCTGCCGTTTCCTAAGTGAAAAGCTTGGCATGAAATGGCTATTTGGCTACTTTAAATCTCATCACTTTTTTGCCCGGCCTTGCAATAACCGGAAATTAGGTATACCCTACTCAGTTTATTCTGCAAGGGGGTGAGCAGACTTCAAGTGCAGTTGCATTTATGGGACACCTAAAACAGTGCGAACATGCCAGACACAGGAAGACTTGAAAAATTAGCCCTAAGGCACTTCTGAGTGTTGAGAGGCATCACCAAGTCATCTACTTACAAATGGACCATGTTAAACAGAAAGGAACCAAGCCACATCAGCTATTGCCAAATTTAATTTTTTACATGAAAACGGTTGTGCGGATTTTCGTGCAAATTTCAGTGAAAATTCTCCATGGTATGAAGCAAATTCCTTAAAATTTTCAAAGAAATCCGAACAAACGTTCTCACGTAAAAAATTTAATTGCCCAATTAGACTTGGCAATAGCTGATGTGGCTTGGTTCCTTTCTGTCCAAATGATGAAAAGGCTGGGAAGGTCCTTTCAAGTGTCTAGAAGAACCATGAACCCCCTCCCGAATGCGCTAATGCGCCCTCAGGTATCATTAGGCACGAAAGACTTTCCTCTCGACTATGATATTTGAAGTATTGTGATTTTTGCAGCATTTTTTGCACGACTCGTTGCTGTGAAACATGGAAAATTCTGACCATTGAGAAGAAAAAGAAAATACTCATAGTGCAAAAATGAAGTGTGTGCCGAAAATTTTATAGAGGATTTCCTAGACCCCCCTCACTGAGGCGCCAACAATATCTTTAACTAAACATCGTGTGGTTAGTAGTTAGTGCATTAATAGTGAGTTATTATCTTTGCTGCAGGGGCTGAAAATTCAAGTCACTGCCTTGGATGTAGTCAGAATGCATGTACTTCCTTCCATTGTGGAGTTGGCGATATTTCACTCATATAGTTTTTATTTTTTTCTCGACGTGATGAACCAACATGCATGCTCTGCTTTTCATTTTTCAAAAAATGAGATTATTTTTTAGTTATAATCAAGATAAAATGACAACTTTATCAGTTAGAAAGTTACAGTATTAGCACAGTACAGATCCAAGAACAGACTCAGGAGTCATACATTTTTTTGTGATTTTTCAATCAATTTTTTTCATTTTTTTTGCTCAGGTTTTTTACAACTATCACGATGGATTTTTACAACCTACGTCATTTCTTAAATGAACCGTAAGTAGAAAAAGAGAGAAGTGACCTTAAATGCAACCCAACATCAAAGATTACTTTATTGTTTTCTTTCCAGCTTTTTTTTAAATGTATTTCTCTGGCTTCCTCGACTGATATGTATATCACTCATGTTTACCATCAAATTCTATCCTTTTCATTTGTTTTGATTGTTTTAGAGTTGCACACATCTAGTTCTCTGATAAGTGTGATTGGCTGGCTAGGAATATTTACCTACCTAACTCCTACTCTCCGCTGTCAACGAAGCTGTTCAGTATTGCCGTGCTTCTATGCAAGATGAAAAGAAAGAATCCTCACCTTTGGTTAGTACTTAACTGTTGATTGTTGAGCCTCTTCCTTCTTTCCTTCAATGGAAAAATTATCAATTTTTCATTGCTTTACGGCTCTCAGCCCTAAAAATTATCAACCAAATTTTATCTTTCTTATTTTGGCTTAGTGCTCTTTTTGAGGGAAACCTGAGTTAGCATCATATTTGTGGAGAAAGTTAATATTTTAGACAGATGCGAGCTCTTCTTCCTGTTTTGTCTCCTAAAAAGGGCAGTTTGTGGTCTCTTGTCGTGTAACCATGACATTCCCTAAGATGCTCCCCAGTAAGAATTCAAAAGCCATTTCAAGTGTCATTTGATGATATTGAAACTGGTCTTTGCAGTTTATGGTGTAGAACTTTCAATAGGTATGGACAATGGATCAAAATTCCTAAGCATAAAAGCTATATGTACATTGCATCAAACGAACTTTAGTGAAACATCTTTAAAGCCCGATTTTCAATTTACAGGAAAATGGTACCCAATACATTAAAATGGTCCGCATTTCATGGCAAGGACCATAGCTCACACCTAAATGCAGTGAATCATCGTCTATTAGGCACAATAGTTTCAATGATCTTTAGTACTTATCATCCTTTTCGTACTTACTTTTTTTTCTTCTAGGTTTCCAGTTCAGTTTATGCAGATATTATATAGAGAAACAAATTCTTAATCAACAGGCTGATCACTGAATTAATAGACAAAGCAATGGAAAAAAGGGGAAAACCTTTCGGTTAAAACAGAGTTTTACAGACAAGTGGGGAAAATGATACACTAACTTTAGGGTGTCTTGTTGGTCTCTATCAGCTAATCTATACTTACTTCCTTCGTCTGTTCCAACCACCCACCTCCACGAATAGGATCACTCCATTTTCCTTTCGTCTTTTTTGTCTATCAATTTCAATTATCAGCCTGCAGCCACCATTCCCTGTATTCTTTCTATGGAAGCCTGAATCTGCAAAAGAATCTCAGTGATCAAAAACTTAATTTTTATCATGCAGAGAAAGTTACCTTTAATTTCTCAACCCTCCAGCATCAGGAGAAGGGGATGTTCAGTTCACTAAACAAATGTCAAATTTATAAAAATTTCAAATTCAGATCCTTAAAGTTAGTAACCTTGTGTCTTGGTCTGCAATATTGTAGACTTTCCATAATTTTTTTTCTTCTTTTTTTCCTACTTAATCAAGAAACCTTAGTGCTGAGTCCACACTATTTTGCAGGGAAAGCAAGGCCAGAAAGTTCAAGAATTTCAATTAGAATTAGAGATACACATTTTTTGTTCTAATTGAAATTCTTGAACTTTCTGGCCTTGTTTTCCCTGCAAAATAGTGTGGACCCAGCACTTTTTTACCACCTTGTTATTTACAGTTTGGGCCACATTTTTTAGTGTTTTTTCCTCTTCCTGAAACTAATTAATGTAATTTTAATGTGTTATTGTGAATGTAAATGTAATATCTTTGTTGAAAGAATATTATTTGAAAATTTAAAACAACCAAGTCGCCTTGTTCTTCTTTATAAGATTAACATACCTATGCCTAAAAATTTTAAAACACTGCTATCGAGAAACTTAATTTCCGCATTTCGCAATTTATATGATTATTACGTCACATTTCTGTACGCTAATTTTTTTTATTTTTTTCATATTTTTTCAGAACTCAGTTTAAAAGTGGATGTTTGAAAGAAATTCTATGGACCTCATTATTGGTTTTTGCATGTAAGTTTTTAAAAATACTGTTTTTTTCACCCTCCTTTCTATTATGCACCAAAATTAAACAACTCGGTAACCATGGCTGATTTCCGAATAAAACGATTGACTAATTTATTTTATGATGTGCTGAAAGGCAAAAAAAAAGTCAACTCTACCAATGCAAACCTCTTCTTAGAAGCCATCACTCATCAGTCAGGAGCAGTTCAAATCCTCTCGCGCATAGTTGCTAGCGAGCATGCTCTTCAGGGTTTGCTGCTTGCTTTTAGCTCAGATACGTCTCTGGAATTTTTGAATGGTCCCCTGACCTCTTTTTTAATGTACATCAAGGACCCAGAACTGCAGACTCTCTGTGGGGGTGCTGTTGTACGCAAACTTGTGGGAAAGCTAATGGAAGCTCCATTGACATTCAAAAGTTTTGTCAAAGAAGCTAAAAGTCAAACTTTGAATGAAAAAGCTCTCTGTGCATTCGCATGGCTATTACTACAACTGCTTACACTGCCAACAGTTGAAGCAATCAGTTATTTGCCTGTTGCTGAGGATCCAGCCATTCAGAGAGCTTTAATAAACTCGACTGGGACATCTTCGTATGAAACCAGAACCCTCGGTCAACGAATTATCAAAATTGCGAACACATTAGCTGGAAGTTCGACCTCCAAGAATGTATCACTTGGACAACAAGGTCCTGGTGGCAGACACGATAATGACTTTGCTGAGATTCGCAACATTTCCATCTACCCAACATCTGACGAGTTGAGAACAAAATCTCCATTCTTACCCAGGGCATGTGATGTGCAACAAAGAGCACAGGAATCTGATGGCCTGGCCAATCATATCGATTGGCAGTTTCGACTTTTAAGAGAAGATATGTTACGTGATTTGCGTGAGGAGCTTGCGATGTGGGGACAGCCAAAAAAACGTAGGAGACTTTTGGTAATTGAAAACCTGTCTATGGCTGGTATTCAATGTGATCAACGTACCTTTTGGTCGCTGATGCTTCGTTGTCAAGATGAACTGCCACCGTTTAAAAATCTAAAACCAAATGCGCGTAAGCAGTTTCTCCGAGATAATCCTAAATTTTTAAGGAATGGCTTCCTGGCTTGCTTATTTGTTGGGAACGATTTTATTACACTGGGCACGCTAGTACGCGATGAAAATTTACTAACCCAACTGCCAACGGTACTTTGCATCCAACTTCCACCCAGTGGGATAGAAAAAGTCTTGCTGCAACTCAAAGAAGCCAGCTCAGGTATCCGTCTTCTACAGGTTGACACGGCAATTTTTTCTTATGAACCAATTTTAACACGGTTGAAAGAAATGCGAGAACTTTCGTTGGGTCAAGAAATTGTTGCGTGGAAAGTTGGGGATCCAGTCCCACCACCAGATTACAATCTTAGTGAGACGTTGTTAGACTTGATGGAACATCTTTATATTGATTGTTCCCATGACTTGCAGCCTTATCTAAGACTGCAAAATTCCACCAAGCTGGATAAAGCGCAGGCAGAATGTTTCCTAACAGCCCTTCAACAGAAAGTGACGGTCATACAAGGACCTCCTGGAACTGGTAAATCTTTCATTGGATCTTTAATTGGTAAAGCAATATACCAATGGAGTACTGAAAAGATATTAATTGTTTGTTATACTCATCATGCTTTGGACGAGTTCGTCAAAGACCTTTTAAACTTAGGTATCCCTGACCAGGAAATCGTTCGTCTTGGTTCAGTCCACAAAGCAAAACAGATAACCAAGTCCTTAGCTTTGAAAGAGTTGCGTCAAACCATGAAACTAACTCGTGAACAGTGGAACATGATAAGTGCCAAAAAATTGGATGTAACGAAGTATGGTAATGACCTCTATAGAGCCTTTGGAGAATTCGCCCAGTTCAACCCCAATCATCGAGACCTACTGGGATTTTTAGAATTTGCGGATGAAGACCTCCCATTTTTTAGTGCCTTTAAAGTGCCTGAAGATGAAGATGGCTACACCTTTGTCACAAGATCTGGAGATAAGGTCAACGATTTGTACTTGGTTCAGCGTTGGGCTAATGGCCAAGATGCTGGTATTTTCAGAGATAAAATACCACGCTACTGTCGTGAAGTCTGGAGCTTACCAAATGATGTACGCTTTCAAAAGTGCCGGCAATGGTACCAGGAGCTGGCTAAAGAACGAGCCAAACAAGTACGAGAAACTGGCAATCAATATAATGACAGTATTGGAGAGGTGGATAAAATCCATTTGGAAAAAGATCTTGCGGTAATTCGTAGTAAAAGAATTATCGCATGTACCACAACAGCAGCTGCAAAGTACAGTGAGGCCATCCAATGTATCTCACCGGGAGTTCTTCTCGTTGAGGAAGCAGGAGAAATACTCGAAAGTCATGTACTAACCGCTCTCGGTCCAAGCACCAAACATCTCATTCTTATCGGTGATCATAAACAACTGCGACCGAAAGTTAGTTACGAGCTGAGTGTCGAAAGAGGCCTAGGATATGATTTAAATAGATCATTGTTTGAAAGACTCATTTTGAAAGGGTTTCCACACCATACTTTGTATGCTCAACATCGTATGAGACCGGAAATCTCAGCTTTTGTTAGAGAAATGACGTATCCAGAACTGAAAGATGCGAAAGATACTGAGGGAAGGCCAAACCTTCGTGGGTTTACTGATAATATAATCTTTGTGAACCACAGTGAATTAGAGACAGAATTAACTGGATTCCGAGAATTGTGTGATTCCACAGCAACGTCTTCAAAACAAAATCGGTTTGAGGCCAACATGACCCTCAAGTGTGTGAGATACCTCGGCCAGCAAGGCTACAGGTCTGATGAAATTGTAGTTTTGACACCCTACCTAGGTCAGCTTAAGCTACTGTATGATGTTCTGAAAGCCTTTAATGATCCTGTTTTGAATGATCTTGACTCACATGACTTAGTTCGTGCAGGTCTAATGCCAGATGCATCTGCTCAGATTAGCAAACCCGGACTGCGGATTTCGACCATCGACAACTTCCAGGGAGAAGAAGCGAAAATCATTGTTGCATCCCTTACAAGAAGCAATGCAAGCAATGATATAGGTTTTATGTATGCACCAGAGCGTCTCAATGTCCTTATCTCCAGGGCAAGGGATGCTTTGATTTTAATAGGCAATGCTGAGCATTTCATGGGCTCTCGTAAAGGCGGTGATCTATGGACAAGGTTCATTGGAATGTTAAAAGCTGGCAATCATGTTTACGATGGCTTCCCAGTTCATTGTGAGCGGCACCCTGATCGCAGCGCCCTTTTGAAGAAACCAATGGACTTTGACCTCGAATGTCCAGATGGAGGCTGTAAAGAGCCGTGCGACAAAACTCTAAATTGCGGTATTCATAAATGTCCTGACAAGTGTCACCTGCTGCATGACCATTCGAAAATCAAGTGTACGGCAAATGTGACTTCTAAGTGTCCCAAAGGACATGTCAACAAGCGAAGATGTCATGCCAAGAACCCTGATGTTTGCAAGAAGTGTGATATTGAAGAAGAGAAGGCACGCAAAGCAGCCGATCGAAAAGTGAAGGAACAAGAAGAAGAAGTAAAGCATTTATTGAAGATGGCTGATCTTGATCTTGAGATCCAACGGATAAAAGATGAAGCTGCTCTAAAGGAGGCTGAAAAACAAAGGGAAGCTGCATTAAGACAGAAAGAAAAAGAGCTTCAACTGGCGAAAGAAATGGCTCAAAAAAAATTAGCCTCAAACATCAATCAGCAGAGCACCCCAGCACCTGTAAATCAATCAGTTGGAGCACCATCGGCCCCAGTTGCGGCAGGTACTGGTCAGCCGCAGCCTAAATCGAAACCAGGACCTTTAAGTGAAGCGGAAGCAGATTGGGAAAGACAGAAGAAACTCGAAGGTGCCTCTAATGATGCCATTGATGCTCTGATGAAATTAACTGGACTTGAGGCAGTGAAGGAAAAGATGCTAGACATCAAAACAAAGATAGAGACAGCTGCGCTGCAAGGCACAGATGTTAAAAAAGAGAGGTTTAGCGTGACAATGCTTGGTAATCCTGGCACTGGTAAAACAACTGTCGCTAGGATATATGGTCAATTTCTCGCCTCGGTCAATGCCATTCCTGGTGCAGAGTTTGTGGAAATCACCGGCGCAAGCCTTGCAAATGATGGTGTCGCCGGGGCAAAAAAGAAAATACAGGAGCTCGTGAAAGCTGGAGGAGGAGTATTTTTCTTGGATGAAGCGTATCAACTTGCAAGTGGTAACAACTACGGTGGTGCAGCCGTTTTAGATTACCTTCTTGCAGAGATTGAAGAGCAGCGTGGAACTATCGTTTTTATTCTTGCTGGATACAAAAAAGAGATGGAGAAATTCTTCGAACATAACCCAGGCTTTGCGAGCCGAGTACCTCACCAACTCGATTTCACAGATTATTCTGATGAAGATCTCTTAAAGATGCTGGGAAAAATGATAGAAACCAAATATAATGGTCGAGCAAAGTTAGAAGGAGGTCTTGATGGACTTTATGCCAGAATTTTGATAAAACGCCAAGGTAGACAAAGAGGATCAAGGAATTATGGGAATGCAAGAGATCTCGAAAATACATGGGCCCGCGTAACAGAGAGACAGGCTGCTCGATTTCGGAAAGAACGAAGAGAGGGTGTAAACTTCGATCCCCTTTTGTTTACAAAGGCTGACATCATTGGGCCAGAGCCTTCAGATGCCGTGAAAAATTCAGCTGCCTGGCGGAAACTTCAAGAACTAATCGGGTTAGAATCGGTGAAAAGAGCGGTTGCCGTTTTCGTCAAACGAATCGAAGTTAATTATGCCCGAGAATTGGCAGAGGAGGAACCTCTACAGGTGAGTCTTAATCGATTGTTTCTCGGATCTCCTGGTACAGGAAAGACAACAGTAGCCAAACTTTATGGTGCAATCCTAGCCGACCTAGGCTTGCTGTCGAAAGGGGAGGTAGTGTGCAAGGGTCCAGCAGACTTTGTTGGCGCTGTGCTAGGAGAGTCTGAAAAAAACACTAAGGCTATCCTTGCAGCCTCTACAGGTA